TTGTTTCCATGTACAAGAATGAAACAGCATCTTTTCATGACTCGTAATTTTTTTAGCAACTTTAATCACAAAAACGGAAGCGGTATAAAAACAACATGAAAATTAAATAAGATCAAGTAATGATTAGCTCTGCGTCTAACCACTATTTTCACAGAGGAATAATCTAATTATTTTATCAATGAATACATTAGCTGTTTGGTCTATGAAATGTCACAAAAATGTTGATCATTGCTTCCTAAAACAAAAACGGATGTCTTACAATGTCTTATTTTGTTCACAACACAAAGATACTCAGTTTACTGTCATTAAACAGTAATGCAACCAGAAAATATTAAAAATTTAAGAAGTTGGAACCAGAGGAGTTTACCTCTACACATAAATTACTCAAACTGATGGATCAATTAGCAAAATAGTTGACAACTAATCGATTAATGGTTGCAGCAGAAATATTGATAGTTGACTTTAATGGATATTAGATTCTAGTGCAAGGACTGCTGAGAAAGTGCAGACATTGTGCCTCAGGTAATTACGTACAGTAATGTCGACCACTAAAAAGAAATGCTAAAATTTGTCAAGTTAATGCATATCCAATTAATCTTCCTGAAATCTTCCCAGGAGGGTTTCTTGGTCTGTTGACCAGCGCAGTGACACGAACACAAACGTGTCCACGCCTGAATTATATGACAGCAAATATGGGATACGGCTCGTTGCTCGCAGCTAATACCGTGACTTAATTCCTGAGATATTTGGCAGGTGAGTAATCGTTTTAATATCGTGGGACGAGCTAAAAACAGACCGCGGCTCGTTGCTGCAACAAACAACAAGCTAGCAACAGTCTGTGCCTGTTAGAGCCCGTCCAAGCTAACGACTGGCGGTAACGTTTGCTGCTGCTGCCACTGCTGTCAAAGCGCCAGGAATTCACACAAAAATGCCGCAAAGAAAATCAGTTTTCTCACCTTTCCAGACTGGGTCCCTTCTCTAATTTCCTGCTTCGGCGCCTTCTTGTTTCTTCCGTAGCGTGAGTTCCTTAGTCCGCCCTCAGCCAGGACCTCACCATTTACAGCGCAGCGGCTGGAGGACAGTTCAGCCCGGAGCCGAGCGGGAGGAGGCGCTGACGTCACACGTACGAAAACTTCTACGAACGTGAACGAGATTTACCGAGTGACCCAAAGTTCAGTCAGAGTGCACAAATGTTTTGGATTGTGTCACACCTCCCCCTGATGCATTATGTTAGTCTTCTCTCATGGGGGATTTACAGTTGAAAAGGGTTTGTTGTATTCTTTGTAAATATTGTGTTAATAACTGGAGGCCCTCAGTGGAGGGATGTACAGTCGTCACTGCAATCAAGTGTTTTCTGTTACTGTCAGTCAGATTTCTGCACCTGTTGAAAGGTATTTTGGCCCACTGCTCATCAGCAAAGTGCTCTAATTTGTCTGGGACTTTTTTTTTTTATTATTTTATTTTATTGTAATTGTTCTTTTCACCCACAATTCAAAAGCAATGTCTTATTTCACTAAATCACAATTTAGCAATTTTTTTATTTATTATAATTTTTTTCTATTTCTAGTTACCTGAGTGACTATTGTGAATTTTGCCTTTTCTTTAATGGGAGGGTATGAATAAATTTGAGGACGACTGTAGTAGCCCCTGCAGGTAACGATTGCACTGAACCCCAGTAAACCATTCTTCTGTTCAACTTACCACAAAATAGGTGTTTTCTTTCAGTAATCATGGTTGGTCTGTTGTCCAAGGTGAAATAGGTACTATCCATGTATACATTACATGTTATTTAAAATATATCTGAACATTTATAATATAATACAATAATACACCCATAATACAATATATCAACATTTTTGGAATTTGAGTTTGACTTGAAATATCACCCAGAGATCAAATGTTACATCTCCAGCAGGAAGCTTATATATATTTTCCGTTACAAACAATGTGTCCATATTTGTGCAGTCAAAATGTGTTACCTTGAATTTAACCATGAAATATCATCCAGTGTCAAATGTAACGTCCCCAACAGAAAGCCCCAACATGGTTGCTTATTTGCACAAAATACCATAAATATAACTTCCACCCTTTTTGAAGGTATACAGCATTTTTGGAAAGTGACCTCTGACCTCTGGCTGACCGATTGACTCCAAAATTGAATCATTCCGAGCTATCCTATAAAATATCAACTTGTTAAACCTTAGCGCTTAAGCTAGAGAGTGTTCACAGACACACACAGACACAAAGATGGAACCCTTATTGGGGTAACTATAAAAGTAAATCATCCTATGTGCTTCTGTAGAAGGAAAGTGGAGTTCTCTTTTTGATACATGAAGACTTCTCAAACAAGAGGCCAAAATCATATGGCTAATGGCCCATTCATAAACCAACATCACCTACCTCACTGTGTGGATGGTTGTGAAACTGCCCAGTGAGGGATCATAGGACTGCATTATAAGTATTTGGTAAGTGGTGTCGCAGATCCCTCCTGGGGTAAGCGATAACTGTTCCAGTTTAACATTAACATGAGATTTTTAAAGGCAAGCTTATGACCTACCTTTTTAGTCAGGCTTTTGAGTCCTTTATTTACAACACAATGTTGGGATAGGGGGTTGTTTGTATTGTTTTATTGCACTTTTATTTCTGTTATCTGTAAAGCACCTGGTGTTACAGTTCATTTGTATGAAAAGTGCTATATAAATAAAGCTTGACCGATGACTGATTATCATTTAGATGCAGGTGGACTGCTGAATCCTGAAGAGCTGGCTCTTCTGTGCTGTGGAGCGGTTGTTTAGTTTCCCCTATATATAGTTCTGTTTACTCCTCACTGCACTGGACTGTATATTCAGCGTTGCTCAGCTTGTGTTTGTGGTTTTCACCTTAAGGGTCCAGTGCATGGATGGTGTGTTTGTAATAAATCTTCTGAAGTTTCTTTGACACACCAGCTACATAATAGATGACAATGTTGCGCTGTTCTCTTTTTCATCTCTGTTTGATGTTGTGCTGTTTCTTCCAGATTTTTTTGGATGATTTAAGAGTGCCTGGTTGGGAGAGCCACTGGCTTTATGAGCTACATTACAATGGTTGTGCTCCTTTTCTTTTTCCACTGTCTCAGTAAGAACATTCTCAGCTTGGTGCTGTTGGGCTCCGAAAATCATCTTGTGTTCCAGTGGGTGGTGGGAGTCAAACAGTAGGTGTTGACATGTGAATGTAGGTAAACTAAATTCACGCTACAATCACACTGACAGATAGACAACAAGCAACAGTACTTTGAGTTGTGTGTGGTGTTAAGAAAAGGCTTTTTCCACATTACAGCACCAATATCAGTCCAAAAACAGAGTCTTTCATCTGAGTTATTTAGATGCCTGCAGCATCAGACGGCAGCATGAATCCACATGAGTGTCTCTACGTAAGAGAACTGTGTGCATTTGTCAAGTGGAACAATACGACCTTTAACTTCATTAATACCTTGTCATTATAAATTATCCATAGACATGGAGACAGGATCGATTTATGTCAGGAGCCAACAGTAAGCCTCACTGTTTACTTTTTCCACATCAGAGAGGTAAGCTGTCACACACAGTCACAGTTTGGTTTGTTGCTTCCAGCTGTTTTTAGAAGTCTGAGTTTAATAAATACTTGCATCACGAGACAGCAGCAGGAGCTTCGAAGTCAAGGATTGGTGTGTATTTATGCACAAACAAACCGCAGTGATCTCATTACTTAGATATAATCATAAATGATCTCTAAAATAAGGTCAGGATCAGTCAGGATTTAACAGGAAGTCACACAGTTTTTGTTTTCTTGTACTGTTGGTAAAATAGTAATTAGGTTATCACCACACATGGACAGAGTTTTCAGTGTTTAGGAAACACTAAATACAATTGACTGTTAGTTATTTAGACACTTAGCTGTTATTAGTTTACATAGAGTTTTTTGTTTGTTATGACATCATTAAACATCAGTTGACATACTGTCTAATGTCACATGAATTACAAATATCACATGCATAGCGTGGCTCCCTCCAGCACTGTAGGAGGTATGTCTGAATGAATCTGTGAGAAACACGAACAGAAAAGTGACCTTTGTCTGAATGACAGAATGCTATTGCTTTAACACACTGATAAAGACAGCAATGTTATATATGAATGTCCTCAGTGTGCACAGCACAGTCGTATAAAGGTAGGTTACTTCCCTTGACATCCTGCCTTGTGAACTTCATACATTCTGTGAAAGAGTCCACTTCTTCTCTTTGATTTTGACGCAGGTGTCATTCACACATCTGACCTGGATGACTGACAATGTATACAGACCTATCCTTTAAGATTTTACATCATATATATATATATAAAACAAAATTACTTAAAGAAGTATTGGAAAGGTTTAAGCGATTATACACAATATCTGTATTTTTTGAAATTTACACAGGGGAACAACATTTCATTAGTGTTTTTCCCCACTGCGATTTTTCAAAGTTATTATGGAAAGCTGGGCAATACTCTATCAATAGGAAATTTGGTAATTATTTCAAATATTAATATATTTGATGTGATGTTATATTTTGTGTTTTGTGGGATGGATACTAATATCAACTACATGATTCAGCTTCTGATTATTCTCGGCACACTCTATATCCATTATTCAAAATGGTCCAGCTCCAAAGCCTTTTAATGTTTTTTTTGTTTTTATCAAATGTATGGAAAACAAAAGCTGCCAAGACTCTATATATTTTTTAAGAAGTACGTTTTATTTTAAGTTTTTTAAAAGGACTCGTGGCGAATGAGGCCAACTGTAAAATAAGAAAGCAAGTATATCTATATGTGATTTTTTAACTCTTGTATTGAAAAAGTTTTCAATTAGCCTCTATGCTAATAAACATTTTAAAAAATCCTGAAATTCAGTTCTAACTTTTGCTTTTGTGTGCCACCGTCATGAAAAACTGCTGGAGGCGCCCCTGCTCCACGCATGCGCACTGCTATAAAGCAGTTTACTTCCTGGTATGTGAGGGAGCGTGTGAAGTGTAGTCTTTTCTTTGAGGACTGCATACGTTGAAGGTTAAATGCTGTAAGTTGCAGGCTGGACAGAGTGTGCAGACGACCGTCCTCGCCTCAGAGTCTCACGGTCTTCTGTCCGAAGAGGACTCACCGTCTCTCCAGTCGGTAAAGTGGGATGCAAGCAGTCGGTAAAGTCATGAAGGTTTTCATTACGAGGCGCATCCCGCCGGAGGCGATGAAGATCCTGTCAGCTGCTGGAGCGTACGAAGTATTTCTAACTACCAAACTATTATTCCCCACTAGAAAAACAGCATTTATCAGCAAACTTCCTTTATATTGCACTCAGGCTGTGTGTTATTTTCATTTCTCTCATACTGAGTCAGTGGACGTGGATTCATGTTACACGCTTCTCCTGCCAACAGGCTAATTGGAGGTTGTGAGACCTAAAAATGAAGGTGCAGCCACCTCAGGTCACACTCAGCCACCACTACAGTCAGTTTTCTCTGAGCTAAACTGAATGACAGCTTGTTCAAGTCAGACTGAATGATGCCACCTCATGCTCTTGGGCCTCTCTGTCTCCATGGAAACAGGTGTGAGGTGTCTCAGTGGGACTCAGATGAACCAGTGCCGAGGACAGAACTTCTTAAAGGAGTCCAGGGGGCTCACGGTCTGCTGTGTCTGCTGTCAGAAAAGATCGATGTTGAGGTTCTGGATGCTGCAGGTGCTCATCACTCTCCACTGATGGCAGGACTGGTTTAGATGTGTATAAGGAAGTGGGAGTTCGCTGCACTGATTGATCGTTCAAATCATGACAAAAATCACTGACATGATCATTTTACACTGCTTTAAACTTATGCTACACTATGTTTCAGAAGTATAGATTGAGAGTTTTATCCCAGTACGTTTATCTGACAGCTATACAGGAGTGATGTATTCAGATCCTTTACTTAAGTCAAAGCACCATGAAAAAAGTACCTACTTTAATAAACATGCATTAGTATTAGCAACAAAATGTGGTTAAAGTATTATTGCAAAAGTTCTAGTTTTGCTCCAATGACTGATCTGTTATTAAATGACTTCATTAGACTATTAATCCTGAAGCATCAATGTGTCAGCAGCACGTTACTGTTTCAGCTGCTGCTGGAGCTTGTTTCAACTTCGTTAAACACAGTTTTATAAACAAGGACAGTAGATAAATATGAGGGCTCATCAGGTTGTTAATGAAAGAAGAATTAAGAGAAAACAACATTCACATACACAAATCTGTTTTCAGTTTTTGGTGAGATACTGCATCATTTGAACATTTATTGAAATGAAACCATCCCCACAAAATGTAATCCTCCTCCATATTTTTGTTCGTATATGATATGTAGTATGTGGCACAGTTTGCGCAGATTAAACTACAAAATAGTGTCTTGTTGTTACATTTGGCTCCATCTTCATCAACTACAACTTTAATATCTATTAACTTCTACCTTAAAGTACCATTGACATTAATTCAGTAATATATAGTAATTATGGTGACTGTCTACACAGCCAGTACTTCAACTTTATATTTTTTACACTGCTGTACTGCCACATTTACTTAATTAAAAGTAGCAATACATACTACAACTTAAACTGTGAGTCAAGCTACAATTATTTTCAGTATCCATCCATTATCCAATTATTTATTATTTTTAGTTGACTTTGCTTAATCTTCCATTTGCTTTAGCTCAAATAACAAGAAATCCAAGTGTAGCTGTAGTCTCAACAGTACTTGTGCCTACATTTCAGCTGCTCTGTCTTTGATTTTAGGGCCAAACCTGAAAGTCATCAGCACCCTGTCTGTGGGATTTGACCACATGGCACTCGATGAGATCAAAAAGCGGTGAGCTACAATCATAAAACCTACCTTCTCTTGGTAAGAGGTTGAGTTAGGAGCCTCCTCAGTTATATTGCTGTTTGTTTTCAGTGGCATACGTGTTGGATACACTCCGGACGTCCTGACCGATGCCACGGCAGAGCTGACTGTAGCTCTGCTTCTGGCCACCGCTCGCAGATTACCAGAGGGAGTGGAGGAGGTCAAGAAGTTAGTCCCACCGAGTTATACATTTACACTAATTGATGGCTTCTCTATTTGTGTTTCTGTGACTTTTTAACCAAAAGTAGTGTCTTAAACTGCCTACACAATGGTAATACTGTATTTTTCTTTCTCTCAGCGGTGGCTGGAGCTCGTGGAAGCCTCTCTGGCTCTGTGGTTATGGTCTTTCCGGCAGCACTGTAGGAGTCATTGGACTGGGACGCATAGGTTCAGTTTACTGTTACTTCTTTATTTACTTTAGCTCATTATGGTTAGATATAAATCATAATACCACATCCTGCTGCCAGGTTCTGTGTTTTCATATTTGACAAGCAAATTGTGATACGAGTTTCCTGATAAAGTTTATGACTTGATTGTCTGTTTGTGTGCAGGTATGGCCATCGCTCGGAGACTCATGCCCTTCGGAGTAAAGAGGCTGCTGTACTCGGGCAGAACTGCCAAAGCCCACGCTGCTGAGGTGAATGGAGAGTTCGGTAAGAAAATGTAGAGGGTTTTTATGGCCTTAGAGTGGGGCTTTAGGAAGGGCAAGGCAGTTAGTGTAGGAGCCAATTAGTGCTCATTAAAAGAACAAAACAAACAATTTTTGTCTAGTCAGATGTTCCACCTGGAAGGTAAACTGTTTTATGACCACTTAGGTGGCAGGCTGCTTGAACAGTTGCTGGTTCTGTGAGTATTTATTCGTAAGTTATTATGGATCATGTTTGAGTTTAATTGGGATGAATGACAAACGAGAACATAAAAACGACCAAGCGCTCAACGGCAAGCTTTGTCTCAGATTTGGTTCACATAAAGCGACAATCAGCGCATCATAAAGATCATGCAGGTGCAGTATTAAAGTGGTTTCAAGTACTGATTAGGCTGCTACAACAGGTAGCATGATTGGTCAACATGCAGTAAAGGCAATAAATATGTCACCTTATGTGACAAAAAAACTATGCATTCTGCTGTTAACGTGCAATTAAAAAAAAATGTATTTCTCAGTTCTTGTCATTTTGGCGCTGGTGATTTTAGTTTTGTGCTTCATTTTTTGCGGGGGAGTGAGTGGAAAATTTCTCTGTACAGGAAAAACCTTGGAGGAAGACACACAATGAAAGGAAAATAATCAAAGGCACAGTTAGACTAAGAAAGGGCAGAGCAGGAGAAGTTGAAGATAGTATTAAAAAGCATTCCAATGAAAAGTTTTAGTTTTCAGATCTGCTTATGTGATACTGTGTTCCCTCCCTTACTCTACTGTACTCTCCTCTCTGTCTGACAGTTCCACTGGACACACTTGTGTCTGAGAGCGACTTCATAGTGGTTTCCTGCGCTCTGACACCAGAAACTCAGGGCCTGTGTGACAAATCTTTCTTCAGCAAGATGAAGAACACAGCAGTCTTCGTCAACTCAAGCAGGTAGACCTCTAAAACAGTGCAGTGCGTCCATTATGTCCATTATGGGTAAAGCAGTAGATCTGGAATATACTCTACACCCATGGACTTCTTTTATGGCATTAAACCACTCTCCTGCATGCTTGATACCAGCCATGTCTGTTATTAGAATATATAAGGGTAGAAATGAGGTGAATTCTGTGTTTTAGGGGAGCTGTGGTCAACCAGGAGGATCTGTACCAGGCTTTGGCCAGTGGACAGATAGCTGCGGCCGGTCTGGACGTGACAACACCTGAGCCACTGCCAACAAACCACCCGCTTCTTACGCTGAAAAACTGTGGTGAGTAGAGTGGCCATCCCAAACAGAAACATGTTTCTTGGCCTTTTTTACCACTCTGTCTATTAATTTGACAAAAAGAATCACTTTAAATTTGTTTTTAAAAAGCTATTTTCTGTTCCCTCTTATCTTGCACAGTGGTGTTACCGCACATCGGCAGTGCCACCTACTCCACAAGAGGCGTCATGTCAGCTTTGGCAGCCCGAAACTTGCTGGGTGGTTTACAGGGCACAGACATGCCCAGTGAACTCACCTTCTAAAGCCTGAAACTATGCCTACTGCCTCCTCTGGTGCTGAATAGAAAACAGAAAAGAATAACTTACAGATGGAAAGAATACTAAGAATACTAATGTAGTTCAGACATGTTTAGGTGCATGTATCATCATATCAGTGTTAGCTGGATAGATTAATTTGATTGTTACATTTAACACTGAGTTATACTTCGAAAGGTAGGAGGGTCATCTCATCATGCTCCACTAGCTGTACATTTAGGCAAAGTGGCTCAGACCGATCTGCAAAACACTATTCTAGTATGTTCTGTGCAAAGGATGGAAGGTAAAATGGGAGCAACAAAAAATAGATAGTAAATCTGGCATATGTTAATAATCTAAATATGTTAAGTAGCTAATATCAACAAACTTTATCCAGAATCACAGGCCCCATCTTGAATATACAGTGTGCATTTACAGGGAAGGAAACACTCGGTTTTTAAGTTCTTGCTAATGAACAGACTTGCAGCACTCCATATCCCAGGGTAACTATGCCTAGTTAGCCTTGTGGAAAACTGAATAAACCTTTTTTTCATTTGCATTTTAAAAGATCCCTTCAAAGTAGAATCATTAGTTGCTCATCTGTCCCATTCTAAATGTAACATTTGCCATACAGATTACCGTCATGCTCCATGGTCTGCACTTTATTCTGCTGTGAAAGCTCCATGTCTGCACTTACTAAACAGCCCAACACTCCACTTTAGTTTGTGTCAGATTTTTTCTGAAGTATAAAAATAAAGTGTAGTTTAAATATACAACAGCGTGTGTTTAAAGTATTTCCTCCTGCTGAAAATGTCATGTCCAAAATAGATTTGTGATCAATAAAAAATGGCCAAAATTATATTAGTTTGGTCACATTTTACATTTAATTTCATGAAAATATTAAAAATAAATCACAGCAAGGTTGAAGACGGAGAAAGCTTAATTTAAGACACATACGAAAACTGACTTTGATTTCATGGCACAAAAAAATAATTGATTGTCTGTTATTCATTAAATAAGTTTAGAATTTCTTCTAAACTTAAAAGAATTAAGTAGTGTCTTGATCCAGCTCTACATGTCAGAGCAAAGTGTCTGAGAACGACTGATCATCTTTCCAGTTAAGACAAGTGTTCTTCGAGTGTTTGTACAGATGGGACGACTGGCTGAAGCGCTTGCCGCACTTTGGACAAGGATAAGGCTTTTCCCCTGTGTGGACGCGAATATGCTTCTTACAGTCGGTCAAGTTCATGAAGGTCTTACAGCAGATTTTACAGGCGTATTTCTTCTCCCCCTCCACCAGCAACACATGGTCCTGGGCGGCCGCTTTCTTGCACTTGGACAGAACATCCTCTGAAGCTCTAGTGAGAGGTGGTTGATTAGTGGCATCTCCCGCTGACCCAGAGGAAGAATCTGTCCCGGCTTCTGATCCGGGCGGCACTTTGGGGGCGATGCGACGAAAGGTTGTCGTTGTTGTCCCTGTGCTTTTCCCAGCCCTGGAGGGTTGGACGAGGGACGCTTCCAGACTGAGGCCTGGTGTGATGCCGCTCAAGAACCCTGTCAACGAGTTCTGGCTGGGCTGGAGGATGATTGTGTCGCTGAAACCAGGGCTCTGAGTTGGGAAGAGCTGCTGCAAGGGGACAGAAGTAACCGGAAAAACAAGAGAAGATGACGAATCGGAGGAATGAGCAGAAGAGGCGTTTGCTTCATCTGACTTTTGTTCACCTGTTTGTGCAGCAGCTGTAGGAGCATCACTGGCAGCAGCAGCAGCAGCGGTGGCAGCGGCTGTAAGGCTTGCTAGACTGTCTTCTTCCTCCAGAGCTCCCATGACGCTTTCACTACCGGGATTAAGGAAGCAGGAAAAGGCCAGTTCAGACAGGCTGTCCAGGCCTTCACCATCTACCGAGTCATCGCCCAAGTCTGCAGCTCCTCTCTGTGCGTCAGAATGAAGATCTGTGCAAAGCTGTGACTGTAAAGAGCTGACATCACCCTCTGCTGGGCAGCCTGTGACTATTTTCTCATCATTTAGCTGTGCATCCAAACTGCCTGCAAGTGGAGATGGAGGAGAGCTATTTCCTAAAGTGCCTAAATCTGGGGAATATGAGTTTAGATTTTCCTTTTTCACCTCAATCACTGCCACCTGTGGCTCCTCTCCCTCCTCTTCCCCCACCTTTACTTTGACCACAGTGTCTCCATCTGTATCTTCACCCTTCTCCTTCACACCTGTGCCTCCCGTGCTGCTGTCTGACTGGCTTGGTAGCTGGATTTCCTCTGACTCCTTGTTTGCTTCGTATTTCTTCTCCTCCTCCTCATCATCTGGTTGGTTTTCCCAAAGTCTGTCAGTGGTCGGGGACAACAGATCTCCGTCCTCGGTGCTCACGGTGCTCCTGGTGACAGTCGGCGAACACTCCTTATAGTTTTCTGCATTCGGCCTGCAGGTTCTCTTCCTGTCGCCGATCCTCTCCTCCAGTGATTTCCTCTTTTGCCTCACAGATGATGCTCCCCTCTGCACCCCACCGTCTTCATCCCCTCCAGACTGACTCACCTCCACTCCTGCCTCCTCTTTATCAAGATCCTCCTCCTCCTCCTCCACAGCTGATGTGACCCGTTGCTGTGAACTAGCTGCTGCCTGGGAAGATGGACTTTGCTGCTGCTGTTGCACCGACCTCCATCCTTTGGGCGGCGAGGAGGGGAAGTTTCTCTTGGACAGGTGGAGCTTGCAGGCCTTGACCACGGCATTGAGGTGCAGGTGCGATGCCGCCAGCAGCACATCCATGACATTGGAGGCCCTTAGAGAGAGGGTGGAGGTGTAAATCATGTCCAGCAGGGTGGAGAAGGCCTCTGGGGTCACCACCTCTGGATCCAGCTCCATCACATGGGGGCCCCTGTCAGCTCCTGGACCCACCACCTCCTCGCTGGAGCTGAGCAGAGCCCTGAAGTGGGAGCTGCAGGCTGCCAGGATGGAGCGGTGAGCCTGAAAGGTCTGACCTCCAACCAGCACCACACAGTCGCACAGCTGAGCATGCAGGCGCTGGTGGTTGAGCTGCTTGAAGATGTGCTGGAAATGACCCGGAAAGTCCATCACGGCCGGTGCAGCTCGTTATGTAACGCTGAATGTGTTGTTTCCGAGCATCTGTGGTGAAGCTGCTCAGGAGCTGCTTCTCATCCACATGTGCTCTGATAAAAACGACATCCTAGGACACATTTCACATTTGCAGAACAGCTCCAGTGTGATGCTCAGCGGTGTATTGTCTGCTGTCGCCCGGCTTTCCTAGAAATGCTCCGGATGGTGGACGGGCCTGGTCCAATTATAACACCGAAGGATGCGGAGCAGACCGACAGCTGGAAGCGGTGTCCTCCTCCTTCCCCTGCTGCTGCTGCTGCCGCTGCTGCTGCTAAAAGTTAATATGAAATCGGTATTGTCACAGAGCCTCCATTTACACAATCGCCCGCTTTAGTGTCCTTTGTCGACGCCTCCATCACTTGCAGAATCTCATCAGACTTGGACAATATCGCCCCCACATGGTCATATTGTTGAAATGCAGTCTTAACTTCAGTCATTCATCCAGGTCACTGTAATCACAACAGCTTCAGAAAGAGCCAACTGGACTTCTTTACATGGTTCTTGAAGACCTTTCACCTCATGTAAGGCTTCTTCAGTTCTAACTGACTGATGGAACACCAGATTTATAATGTCATCCCTCAAAATTTGAGGGTGACAGTATAAATCTAGGGTCCCCCCCAAACAAGCCTCCAGTGAGCCCATTGGTTTTTACTGAAGCTTATATTGAAGATCTTGAGAATTTTAGACAGCAACATTTTTTACTTGACTCTCACTCGTATTTAAAAAAAATCTTTATTCTACTTTTGCATTTTTTTTGTCGCGGTTCTTACTATGCTTTATTTGTATCTAGCTGCTTTACCATTTCCTCACTGGATGATTAATAAAGTTGATATTATCCTGTATTTTTTACACTATTGCCAGTCAAAATATTTCAGTGTGATTTGTTAATACACTAAACATCAAATATTTAGTTAAACTTGACTCTTTTTTGTTGCCAGTTGAGCTTATTTTACCAAACACCATTTGGTTGTTAGTCAAACTTCTCGAAGAAGTAAAAGTCGTAACAAGTGAATGATTGTGTTGTGACTTCGGCTAAAAACACAACACAATTCTTAATACATTGTTGTTGTTTTTTTAAAGTAGTAAAATAAGCACATTTGTTGATTGGATTGGTGAAATTTTATATTGTTTGATGTGGTCCGCTGTCTCATTCTGTTAATGCAGCTGGCAATGAATGGATAGTGTCAAATGATGTGTTTACATCTGTTTAATATGATAATCATTTCCTATCGGTTCTGGATTATGGTGACATTTTACACATGCATGTATCAGCCCTTTGACACTGTTTATCACTCTGCATTAAGATGCAATAGCTGCAATACTCATCACTGTGAGCTGTATGATGGACAATAGACCTTATTTATTTATAAGGGACAAGGTTTTTAGCCATCTACATTACCTCATTACTGTCTTTTAATGTGGGCCCTGACCACACATGCTCAAATGATTGGATTACGCTGCAGACACCGGCTGCTTTTACGGAGCTTGGGAAATCCACTTTACCTGCTGTGCACCTGCAACCCGAAATAACCTGCAGAACAGTCTGAAGACTGCCTCTTGTTTATCCTTTGGCAATACAGGCTTTTAATTCTTATCTTACTTTACTACCAACTGCCTCTGTTTTAGTCGATTCATTTCTTTTTAGAACTTAAATGCTCTTTGCTTTTATTATTGTACGAACTTTGCCTTTTAATATATATATCTGCTTACATATTTCATTTTCTTACTTGGCAACATTGTAAATGAAGCCTCCATACTTCCATGTACTTAAAGTTTAAATTACGGTTGAATGAAAGGATATAAAATATGCTAAAATAATAACACACAATAATTATATGGGAAATGCACAGTTCAGGTAAACTACTGGGAAGCACAGAGCCTGCTGCTTAACAAGTGTAATGTGAAAAAAAGACTTTTATAAGATTGTTTTTACAAGTTCCAAAATACTCTGCCTGCTCAGAAGACACTGTGTGAGGTCACAAAATAGACAGAGCACAGATTGTATGAGGTTTTGGTATAAACGTGACTTACAAAATTCAGGATGTACCGGATTTAACCATACAGGACATGACAGGAAGAAAGTTGGAAGAGGAATAGGACACTGTGTATGTCTGTGTAGATTGAACTGGTGATCCTTGGAGCTCCATCCTGAAGAGGTGAAATGTATTCAAAAACCTAGATGTCTGGCTGCTTTTTACTGAACCGAGAGGATGAACGCTGTGTGGTACAAAAAAAATCTACTAGTGGATCGAAGATTGCTGACTCTGCTCACTTTCTTCTTCTTTCTTCTCTTCTCCTTAAAGTAAACCTCCCAAACACTAACAGTTAAAAACCTCACACTTTTAAACCAACAAAATCAACATGGTTTCACTTTATTGTGTGACAGCTGGCAGACACGCTATCAAACACAAACTCCGCATTTAACAAAGACCACAATATGTTGAATTTAAAAAAAAAAAAAGGCAAACTATTGTTTACAACATGAAACAAAACTGAAAATGAGAACAAGCTGGTATCTCTGGTGCAGCGGTGGACAAACATTGGTCATTTTCCACAGTGATGCTGTAATGGCCCCACTCTGCTGGATGGAGATCCATGCTGTCTCTGTTGCAGTGAACTCTGAGTGGATGGAGGGAAGAAGAGACCAGTGGCTCCGTTCATATGCTGTCCAGCTTCTTCAACACATATGGAGCTGTGAACACAAAGAACATGAGAAGACTTGGTACAGCTCACTGAAGGTTTTGTTGCTCACTGTTGCTTTGTGTGTGAATTTAGTATGTTTTATGATTCATTAACTTCTTTTAAGATCAGCGTGAGGTAGATGGTGTTTGCATACCACTCTAAGATGATGAGTTACATTTTTGTAAACTTGAGCTGCCTTTACTGCCTAATTATCACATGCATAAACCCAATACTAACACCTCATTGGAATGAACCCGGTGTCAACACTGATAGTCTGCCAAATACTGAATGCTGTGTGCTTCTTGTTAAAGCTGTACTACCCAGTTTCCATACTTCCACAGCTAATTTTAACTGGTTCAAACAGTCATAATGTGCATAAACATTAAGTAATCAGACATAACATTTAGGATGATAATAGGCAATACTATACTATTGTGTTTAGCATGTCTAATATTATTGTTTAGACTCCAATTAACATGACTTACAGATGAGTTTACATTTAAAATAAAGAAATAATCAATTTTTGTCCTGTAGGCTATATACCTTTAAATCATTGAAATCAACCCTTATGAGTAAAATCAAGCCATCCTGATGCAATAACAGCACTTCAATGGTAAGGCTCTAATCACTTTTTGGCATCTAGAAAACTGCATTTAATGGGTTGAACTGGTCCTTCAAGTACATTTCAACCGCTAAAAACAACACTACTGGTTATAATGCAGCACACAGAGCAGGTTAAATAATGCAGAAGTCAACCAGGTTTAGGCAGAAGATTGCTTTTAGGCACAACAGCTGAACTGTAAGAAACATGTGTAGTAATGGCTAAGCGTCAATGTCATCTGCCTGCACTCACTGGCTCTGAGGAGGGCGACGTAAATAAGAAAGTTTCGTAATGAAGAAATGACGTCTTGTCGCATTTTCTTCTTCATCTCCTCCGGGTCCATTTTAGGTCCGAGTCCTTCCAGTTTAAACATCTCTGCTGTGGGTTTTATTCGTTTTTCTCTTCAGCGTTGAAACCACCGTTTCAGGCGAATCGCATGGACGAAATAATCCAAACCGGAAGCACGTAACAGCAGACGTAACGACGTTGGACGGCGGCCACGGAGGGACAAATCACACGAAGGCAACAAAAGCAAAATGTTACGTTGCAGTTTGAATTAGAAGTTGTCTTAGCACCAAAATTAGGCCTGACTGAGTTTCAGATCTGACTTTATAAAAGTAAAACACTTTAATTAAAGGCTGTGGAAAAAAAAGAGCTGTCTTTGGCTTACTCTTAACACAAGGCTAAAGTACAAAAGCAGTCTAATACATATTTTTTTATTAGGCAGATAATATCTGCAGGCTAAAACAATAAATTTTGCAGAAGGAAAAAACTAAGACACCTTTTTGTTGTTGTTTAAAAAATAAGTCAATCTTTCTTTTTTCCACTGGAACTAAATTCTTGGCCCAGCTGACCCTGTTTATGGTAATTTGGGTAAAAACTGATTCATTTAGAAACAAGCTCCATGGAAATTTGACTAGGGGGTGAATGAGAATGTTAGCAAAGCCGGATTTGCTTTGACGCCATTATCATTTAAGATGATATAGTGAATTTGCTGATTGCCAAGAAAACAATCAAATTACCACAAGCCAGCTGACATACAATGAAAGAGGCCTTGGGGGCATCTGGGCCTCTGGGGCAGTTTCCTGCTTCTCCCAGGTTGTGCCTTGCCTCTGGGCTATTTGTTGTTAGGAGTATGCTTTCATGGAAGTGACCAGATTCTGGTCTGACTGAGCTGTCAAAGTGCAGATCACTTTCTACTGTATACACATTAGACACTGCCAGAAATAAAATGAAAGAATAAAAATACATAAAAAGAAAAAGAAAAGGAAGATATATATATATATATAGATATACAAATTTAGAATAATTGACAAAAAATAAACAAGAATAAAGTGACAACATATATAAAATATTACTTCTTTTATTTTTGTACTGGAAAGCACTTTGGATCACAGACTGTTGCTTTTAATGTGTTATATAAATAACAGTGACTGGACATGACTTGAAACTATAAGAAATGAACAGGTAGACTGAAACTACACGATCAATTCAACTATCAGTGTATTTTTCAAATCCAGATTACTTGGTAGTCAACACTTTAGGATGCGGTTCACAAAAACGAGAGCAGTGACTGAGAGAGGAATCAGAGGCGAGGCGATAATTAATGAATGAATAATTCCTGAATTATTCTTATTTGATATGAGTGGCTGACCTTGCGGAGGAGGGGTGGGGGTTTCTCCGAGCAGACAGCGATGGAGGCTGGGAGGAGAGTGAGGGAGGGAGGGAGGGAGTGGGGGTGGTGGCTTATTCCTGAGCTCAGGGCCGAGGATTAGGCAGAGAGCAGCCCCAGTACGATGACAGCATCCAGCGCGTAGCCAAACCCCCCGCACACCAACATCACCAACATCCTCTGGACGCCGCGGATAATTTCTTTTTTTCTTGTTTTAATTTCCCACAAACAAACATCGTCTCCCCTGAAATCCTGCGCATCTTTCAGGGGAGGATAAACAAAAACCCCTTCAGACTGCCGCTCCGTCTGCCTCCTCCTCTGACCACGAGGTGAGTTTTATTCTCGTTATTTCCCGGTGTTATTGTCTGATGAAGGAGCGCCCAGACTGTGGCACCTTGCGTCCAGTCGCTGCTCATGTATTTATCACCTTTAAATGAATAACTGAGCGGACGGTCATTGTCACAGCCTGCAGGCTACACCCGGGTCTCTGTTTGAGGGAGGCGGTGGAGAGATTTAAATCCGATTACGATTATAAAGGAAGCAACAAAAGACTGACCTTTTTTTTTTTTCTTCTTCTGTCCTTTCTTTGTTTAGCCTCCTGGTTTGACGGCTGCGACCACTGATCAAACTTAGTGTTTGACCAGTGTAATGGGGGATATTGATTATTTTACGGGCGTTTGCGAAGCATTTATGCGCGCTAGACACGTCGATGTGGTTAGTTCTCACAACCCCAGTTTATTGGCTGATGTATATGTATATATATGTATAATTTATCATAAAGAATCGGGGTTGAGGCGCGCACTGGCCATCCTTGGACGACATTTAATTCAGGTATTGGAGATCCATGCGCAGTGAGATCACCGTCACTGGCTACAGATTGGAAATGCTCGGACTAAATCCTGACGGATCACGGGGATGCCAGGAGTCTGGGTAGTAAAACACGCACATTATGAATGGGCGTAGGCGATGTGCAGTCGTCTCCTCCTTTTTTTTTTCTTTAGCTCGTATCCTCTGGCCAGCAGCTATCGCCTCTCGCATGCCGTGCCGTGCCAGGCATGACAACACAACTAGACCGGAACAATGCGTTTTGCTGTTCTGGGGCCTTTCATTTAATGCATGACATGATTTAATACGAGCGCTGATCGCGGCTCACACACGTGTGATACCGCAGCCTTCCTCATTTTTTTTGTTAATCGCAACATATGCTGCTATTTGTGGTGCGGGGCAAAAAAAAAGAAAAAAGAAAAAAAAAAAGCAGAGGCTGTGGATGCTTAGTGTTTTGCTTTCGCTCCTGTGCTTGGTGCGCTCTGCTCGCCGCCGCAGGCTTTGTCCTGTGACTCAGGGATGGACGCTACAGCATGTGATGGGAGTTGCTGCTCCGAGGTCACTCAGCCAGAGGAGAAACACGACGGGCAGAACTTGCACATCAGGAAAGACTTGATGCCTGGCTGCATTAGCTTCGGTCTGCTCTGCTGACTGCTGCTCTGTCCCACTTACTGCAGCCAGCCATCCTCTGCCTCCTCTCTGCTTCTGTAGTCTCAGCTCCACGTCTCCGGGCCACACTGTGTAGCTGGAGCTGGTGTTTGAAGCACCAACACTCTGGCCAATGTCTACAGTGGTTAAAGAATTCATATTCCACTCATATTGCACATTGCTGCTGCTACAGGAGGCTGTTAATTGATCAATGAGTTAATGGGTCAGGGGTTACATCCATGTGTGGTGATTGTTGCAGGGGATGGGCTGATGGCTGTATATTGATTCTTTTAGTGGTTGTATTAATGCATAGTGAAACACAGTTGGGGTATTGTAGCCCACATGTGGGGTTTTTTTTTTTACCCCTCAAACTGTACCAGTGTTACTCCTACAGAGAAAAACGGAGACGTGACCTCATTGATGTGACAGCTCCATGGTGATGGCACAGTTGACTGGCAGTGATGCCATAATGTAGGCCAACTCCATTTACGAGCATATAGCAAAAAAACATTTAGAGACTGAAGCGCACTGGCCTCAAAATACTATAAAGCAAATCAACAGCTTTCTATAACCAGATTTTTTGCTCTTCTGTGTTACAAAACATTAAAAGTCATGCTGTAAGTGTTATTCCAGAGTCCAGAGGACTATTGTAGCTCCTGGCTAACCGACTGCCCTCATATTACTTAAAGATAAGGCATCTATTGTGCAGCTTTTGAAGGAAATTGGCCCAGACACCGAGGCAGACTTTCCAGACTTGCAACATCTATCATCCTCCAACATCCAAAGGCCTCCCTCAGACATTAAGATCTTTCCCTCTTTTTCTCTTTCTGTCGTTCTCTCTGTCTCTCTCCGGAACCATCAGAACCGTTGACAGAGATCTGTAACACAATGCAACGTACTATTAAAAGACCCATTATTTAATAGTGCACTGGGGAACGCGAGCCTTGCCAGGTCGCTGATGAAAGGGGAAATGAAATGAGCGGCGCACGGTGAGCCCTGTCTTCATAATGCTAATGGAATGAGCTGACAGACAGCATGAAGAACAGAAGATGTGATTATGTCTGGAAGATGTGGGTAACAGAGAAATAACCGACAAAACACAACAAACAACAGTGACAATCTACTTAACACAAGCCACCAAACTCTTCTTTGATAGTTGACTGTAAAAGTAATGTTTTCCTTTTTGTGTGTCTTTGATGGGTTTATGTGCGAGCACATAACATGGAACAAAGCTCACACCAGAATTGTATAGGGCCCGTCATGCATAACTATTCAAATACAAACACAAGTAAAGAGAATGAAACAAAACATAAATGCACAATAGCATCTCTGTGAGGGCGTATGTGGGCGCAGTGGTACTTTGAGTCAAATGCTAACTGTGTGCTAATGTGCACAATAGCAATTCCAACATTTATCCGGTATAATATATACCAAGCTCATCATTTTAATTTAGTGTGATGGAATTTGCTAATTAGCACTTAATTTGTCGATGGTGCTAGTTCATGTATTAGGGATCACCAAAGCAATTCCAGGTCAATTAGATAGTAATTCATTTGAGTTAGGGGATCTCAGAAGTCATTAGGATATATCCTCTGAGAATTATGAACAAAAGTTGAGAAAACTTTATGCCAACCTATAGCTGGTTGATGTCTAAATATTGTCCTGGATGAATAAAAATCTCGTCAGACTGACCAGATCTAGACTGTGTTTATAAACCAGCCATTGGCTGCACATTTCCCACGACTTGCTCCTCTACTTCTGCTATCTATGTGCTCCTGATTTCAAAATCCACTTGATTTTCGGAAACAACATCCTCGAGGCTGCAACCATCCCCACTGAAAATGTCAAGTTTTCCTGAAGGTTTGGCTTGTGCACTAAAGCAGTCCTGCTGGTGTTTTTCAGTGAATTATCAATTTTATTGGAAGTTCTCATCTATCTGTGCACAAATGTTTCCCCAAAAATCATTCCCTAGTTACTATTTTGAGTGAACATGTCAGAACATCCTGTTCTTTGCTTCATCCAAGATGATTGTGATCGGTTTAAATAAATACAGCCGAATGATGAGGAGGTGCAGTCAGACCATTCTACACAGTGCACTAGAGAATGGTCTGACTATGCCAAGCTCGTTAAAACCTGGCCTTATGGTTGCACCAAGGGGAAGAGTCAGAGGGAAGTAAATAGGATGATCGTCTGCAAGTAATAAATGTTTCACGGCAGTCCATGGCAGTTCCCTTTGGTCCAGGCTGAAATATGTCAACCTACAGAGTAAAAAGTAAAAGTCCTTTAGTTCAGTGGGCTAGAGATGTTACAAACACACCAAGGCTTGTTCATGAGTGGCTTGAGGGACACCAGCACTGCTCTTTTTCTCTTATCCTTTTTAAAATATTCAGATACAATCTATTTTGAGTTCTCTGGGTATGTGATCATTGACATTTTACAATTCCATATTGACACTTTGAGCAACTGCAAGATTTTTGTACGTCGCCCAACACCTGAAGAGCCTTGCCATTATAAACATTCAGGATATGTATATCAGTAAATTTAACGAAATGATCAAGCTTTAACATATTTAGTTTCTTAAAAACATGGCCCGTTGTAACAGCTTATCAGCTTCCTCTCCAAAGCAGAAGCTGCCTGTGACCATGAACACAAAACCATAAATGCAGTAAGATCATGGAATGCGTGAAATTATTTCCAGCATGTGTTTGCTTCTTGTGGCCATTCCCCCATTTTAAAAGGCATCTCAAATTCAATACGCAAACAAACATAATCCTGAGACGTTTTGCTTCTATTTACGCTACATCTCGTTCAACACAAGTTTAAATAATGAAATGAGGACAGAACTCTTAATCAAAAACAGAAAATATCATAAATTCCTGTACCTTGACTGACTCTGGCGTCTACATGCCCGCTCTACTTCTTGCTCCTCACATTTACAACTTTGCATTCATGAAATCTGACGCAGCTCGGTGCAAGTTTGCTGCTGCTGGACTGAATGTTCTCTAAAGTCTGTGTCCAACTTTATTGGCAGGAACTGTGAGCCAAAATGAAATGTTGAGTTGCTGAACCAACCCCTGCTGCTGCTACGCTGAGCCTCATGTGGTGCAGCTGTATCCGGTGTGTCGTATTCGGCTATGGGGGGTGTAGGAGTGTATGAATATGTGTGTGTGGGACAGACTGGGAACAAGATGTCAATAACAGCCAACTGGCCATTTCTAAATAAAAACTGTTGTTGTTGAGTCAGTGAGCAAGGCTGCTGCCGGAGTCTGATTACCAAACGTTTCATGCCAAACCTGCTTGTCATATAAAGCCACATGTTTTGTGGGTGTGTGAGCTTTCATTTTGCAGCGTAAATGACCAAGCAATGAGAATGTCAGTTTAAGACAGATGAACTCAACCTGTCAGTCAGTTTAAAAGGACGTCAGCTGCATCTGCACTTTTTTCTCATCTGCTTAATGCCCTGACGCAATGTTTCTAAGCCCAGTCTCCAGGTTGGTCTGACCTGCCGTGGCCCGCACAGGTCCAGCAGTGCTAATTGGGCTTGAAACTGTTTTCTATTCCGCTCGCTGCACAGGAACTGCTCGTTCAGTACCACCTCTCAATCCCCTGAGGAGAGAGTGCGGTACTTCGATGAACTGAATGTGTTCCCAAACCAGAATTGAGTATCTGCTTGTTTTGTCAGAGACAGAGAGACATTGTGTTAGGGAAATGAACAGAGAGCGAGAGAGAGAGAGGGAGAGAGAGGGGGGAGGCAGACTGAGACGCAGACGTCGAAACAGAGGTGTCGGATCAGGCTTCATTACCTTATATTCAACGCTCTCCGTGTACAGTGTAGATTGGCGTAGGGGTGAGAAGGTGAAGGGAGGAAAGCAGGGAGACTGAGCGAAAGGTCGGGCATGCTGCACAGCCTGCAGATGAGCTGTATGGGTGGTGTGCTTGGGGACTTCGGGACACGATGGTGGAAGACAGCATTCACTATTGATTCAGAACCAGACTCCTTCAGACAGACAGACAGGCTTTACTGTGTCGGTTTTGAAACTGGTATCAAGTGAAAATGCCATCGCACTGCGAGAAAACCGAGAAATCTCTTCATTTAAAGCAAGCACAGATGGGAATGTAACAATGCTACACGCCTGTATTTATTTAACAAGTCACCATATATCAATGTCTGCTGCCTGGCTTTGTTTGCTCTCAGATGGTGGAGAAACTCTGCATTGATCACGCTTTCCCCACTCCTCTATACCTCTCACTGTTTTGTTCTCTTTTCTCTCCTCCTGCAGCTTTACTCTCTCATTTCTGTACCGCTGCCCTCTTCACCCTCTTTAAAATTCTCCCCCTTTTCTTTCCCCCTTCAATATCCTGTCCTTTCTCCCTTTCTTTGCCTTGACCAATTCTCTTTTCTGTATTCCTTCCCCTTTTCTCAGCCTCTTTAGAGTCCCCTCCTCTCTCCCCCTACTCACCCCTGCAACCCCCATACGTCTTTCCTGTCTCTCTCACTCTCACTCTCTCTCTCTCTCTCTCTCTCTCTCTGTCTGTCTCTCTCTCTCCTGTCGCTCTTCTTCTTGCCTGTTTTGGCAAAGTGGCAGAAGGAGGCGGTTGGAGGCTGAGCTAGCTGCATTAGCCCCATGCATTATTCATGTGCCCTGCAGTCTGTGCAGGTCCAGGTCTTATGCTGGCTTTTCAGTGGGACACATGGGCCTCGTGAAAGAGCTCTGTGTGTGGGACACCGGGCCTGATGGAAGAGCTGCACAGATGGGACTATCGGTTCCTTGATTTCTGCTCCCTCTTGTAAATGAAAGCCCCGGGGAGTGAGAGTTTACTTCACAGATCAACATTCAAGTGCAAAATGAGGCGGTTTCCTTAGACGAGATCAAGTATGTTTATTCAGTGTCTCTCCTAATTCAACAGCCAGGCTTCTCACAACAAAGCATTCCCCAAGTGTGTTTTTCTTCCCAAACCAGCGGCTGGCTAAGGTTGCAGCCATATCTGCCCTGATGTTCATATGAAAGACGTGTCCTCTTTTACGATTGGCCAAGATCTGTGTTTGCCTGGCAGCGTTTCCCTCTCCACCACATCAGGATTCACAGGCTGTCCTCTTTGCTTTTAGAGTGCGCCCAGTAAGAACTGTTAACTGAACTGGGCTGTATGAAATTTTAATTTAGACAACCAGACGGAGATGGAGTGCCTTGTCTCCACATCGCCATGTGCTTTTGAGGCAATGGAGGAGTAGAGAGAGAGAGAGAGACACACACATTGGGTGAGAGGGAGAGAAAGAGAGCGAGAGAGCCTTTGGGACCAGAGGAGGGGCCTCTTGGAAAACCACAACCACATAGCTGCTTTGGACTCACATCTGCTTCGCTTGACATACTTGCGTGTTCACACTGAAAATATCAACAACTGAAGCATAGCCCTGGTGCTTACAGTTAAAAGGTTACCATTTAAAGTTAGGTGCAGTTGATATAAGCTTAATCAGGCTGAGGAGCTGGTTGTTTCATTCTAATTATAAACTCGCCATGTGGACATGCATTCTGTTTATAGGGTTTGACAGGTCTCCCTGATAGCGCTGTTCTGCTCTGCACAGGTGGCCGCACCAGATCGGGATTGGCCCTGATGATCACAAGGAACCCTCTCCACCTCCTTTCAGCCAATCCTGGAGGGGCTACAGAGCTGATGTCTCAGAGGACGCGAGGGTACGTGTGTTCTGGAGTCCTGAAGAGACAAGCTACATCACGGTGAGTCACACTCTCGCAGTCTTCGGTTTAAATGTGGAACATTGTGCTGCTGGCTTAAAATAGGTGGACAAGATGTGAACGCCTGAAACTTGACAGAATACTTTTCGTGACCTTTTCCTGCCTTTTCCAGCAGCATGCGGGCAGGCAGTTATTTTCTGTCACATTATCTCGAGGTAGAATATTGAATTGTTAAGGAATTTCAGGGTCATCGACACAAAGGCTTAATCAGCGTGTGCCCGTTGTTGTTTAAGTAGCTGCTTTCGTAAAGTTACAAACGTTGGTGATAATGAAGAATTTGCTCAAGTGCTTAGGATGTGCATGTGTATAAAGAAAGGCTGGCTGCTGCTGCCCACAGAGACTGTCATTGGAGATGACTACCTGACTCGGCAAGGGCAGCGAAGGTGAGAGAAAGATAGAGAGAGAGAGAGAGAAAGGGGGAGAAAATGAAAGGCCGAAGAGAGAAAGAAGGAGAATGACAGCAAAAACCGTCATCTGACTCAGCACTGATTACTGCACTTGAGCGCAAGACAGACGCGCACATATGCACATCCATTCACCTACAAACATTCAGCACATTTGATATGAGTCTGTGTTAGCAGTTCAGACATGTTTCGTGATGCATATGAAGCAGGTTGGTGTCTCGCCTTTTGTTTTTGTCAGTGATTGGAGGGGGGCGGATGTGTCAATGATCACACTTATGTGCAGCTGTCAGCTACCTAGTCTCACTCAGCCTTCCTCATTCACGTCAATCTGCCTCAATCCGGATAAGCGGGAGGTGCTAAAGTGACACCCTGACCAATGCAGGCCTGTGCAGAATGAAGGCCTCTAATCCTCTTAAAGCACAGACCTACACTGCATGCTTTACTACATCCGAGGGAGGCTAGTCATCGCTGGCCTACAACCAGCGATCACTTCACCAGCGATGACCTGAAACTCTGCTGATTTAGTAACTGGGTATTTAGTTTTTACTCTTAAATAAAGACATAGTCATGTTTCTGCCTCATGAATGCAACTTTACCCAAAGAAATACTGCTCAACACCATCTATTGATTGCAATGCAGGGTATATTGTTTCCTGAACTTAAAGTACAGCAAGGTAATAGCAGCGTAATGACTCAACCATTCTCATTTATTTGTCAGAGACCTGTTTTTAAATTCTACGTGCTGTGCTTCTTTAAAGATATTTACAAAATGTATTGGCTTGCAGAAGTTTGCTCCATATTTCAGAGAGCTGATCAAACTAAGCTCTTGGCTCTTTTTTTTCTTCTTACCGAGGCCATAGTATGGATCATTAGGTTTCAGGAGCGCATTCATCATCGTTAGCCTTATTGATCAGGTCTGGGTCGCAACTCCTCCCGTCCCTGCCAAAGTTTCATTCCCTTCTCTCTTCCTCATGCAGTCAAATGGTCCAGTATAGCTGTGAACAGCAGATGAAATATATCACAAGACAGCAGCAACACAATATCTGCAAAAAACAACAGAAATTAATTCACCTCAATGTCACAAATGAATTACTTTCTTCAAGTCATCAAAACCACACAAGTCTTATTCCACAGCTCTGAAAGTTTTGCTGCCATATGTAACACAAAATAAACATGTACACGTACAATATTACAGCCCTTCTGGAGCAGACGTATAGCTTCAATAATAGACACTAAAGCCTGTGAAGGAATTATCAGCGGCTCTACAAGCCTCTGCAGTGGCAGCGTATTGATTGGCTGACAAACAAAACACAGTTGAGGGGAGTCGTAAGTCTTGAGATTTGGTCTGGATTCAATGCTGACCGGCTTTGCCTCCCGGGGTTCAGCTGCAGCCCTCCATCGTTCATTATGTCCCCACCACTCCCCTGTTTAAAGGGCAAGCTAAGCAGAAAGTGCACACAGCTGCAGAGTCGGAGTGAACATGCAGACTGTGGCATAGTTATGCTGAACTCTTTGTGAATCCTGCTCCTGTGTGATGGTGCAGTTGTTGTTGCTGAGAATCAGGTCATTTAGGCATGTGTTGTTGCTCATGCTGACTAAACTCCTCCCCCTTTCTCCTCCAGCCTTTTCTTGCTTTCTGTTCACATATCTGATTATTCATCGTATTCAAGGCTGGCTGCATGTGCTGCATATAAAAACAGAGCAGACTGGATGCAAATTTAGCTGGAGCACAATCCTGGCACAGATTACACGGTTATAAAAGACAGACCCAAACTCTAAGCAGTTTCTAATTTATTTTGTCCCTCCAAATCCTTTCATCTTCTTCCCACATTTCCTTTCCTGCCTATGTTTTGCTTATTTGCAGTGATGCTTGAAACTCATGTCCTTCTCTCTGTTTATTGCTTCAGATAAATGGAGGAGAAGGAGCGATGTAGGAGCAGGTCTCCGGCTCGGAGGGCCAGTCGGGTGCAGCAGGTGGTGGGAACAATAATACGACGCACCCGAGAGTCCCTCAGCAGGTACATAACAAACAAAAGTAGGACCTGAGGGCAAAGGTAGTCCTCAAAGTTTAGGAAATGTTATTAAAGGGCCCATATTGTTCTTTTATTAGTTTTTTTTCCTTTTCTTTTCGTGTGTTATTTAGCTGTTTTTTGCACATGTAAAAGGTAAACATCCACAACGAAGGGAGCTCTAAAATAAAAATTGAATTCTCTCCCACACAAGCTACTTTTCTTACCTGCCTGAAACAGCTCGATTGAAGTCTTGGCTTTTCTTCTGTTACTTATGTCCATCACCATGAAACACATCTACAAAACACTTGCCGAGTGGCTGGTTTGGCAAATCTTCAACCAAAGAATAAGCAGCTTCCTTGCGATCCATAAGTTTTTCCTTGCTAGAATATACATCCCTATAGATCTTTCATTGGGCCAGCTGACCAATCAGAGCACACTGGGCTTCGTTAGGAGAAGGTTTTAAAGAGACAGGAGCTAAAACAGGGCGTTGAAGATAAAATGAAAAGAGGTGCATCTGAGCAAAAATACTATGCTTCTTTAATCACAAATCATTCTAGAAGACCCAAAAAATAAAATAAGAAACCTGCAAATGTACATTATATGGGCTCTTTAAAATGAAAAAAAGGGAGAGGAAATAACCCATGTAAGGTTAGTTTAGTTTTGTCATTGAACAAACATGAATATTTTACCAGCATCTCATAGCAATGACTGAATGTCCAGCGTGTAGATTTAGACAGAAAGGAACTGAGTGTGCAGCACTCAAAAAAACAGGACCAGAAAATGTCCACTCTACACAAACTACCACATCAACAACAACTGAAACAAGTTATATGGTTGAAAAAAAACAAAACAAAAACTGAACAATCGAGTTTGGGATAAAGAGCACAGGAAGCAACTTCATCCACTTCTAGGCCGGTTGCCAGTTTCTCCAGAGATGAAAAAATGCAGAAAGTGCAGGGGTAGGTGTGTTTTTAGATCAGTGAGGAAACGTTTCACTGGTAAATAGAAATAACTGTAAAAAAAAGTTTAAAAAAGATACCCTGAAAATGGGATTAAAAAAAGACGGAGAAAGTACATTTCCTATGAACACATTGAAACACACACACACACACACAACACATCTTGTCCTCACACATTGACACACAGTTAAGTACATATTCAAACCCCGACTGTCCCTCTCTCACACACAAACACAACCCACAGCGAACCACAAATATGCTTTCAAGAACCCTTCATTCTCTTGTTGTCCGCTAAGTGGTTTCTCATTCTCTGCAAAGGAGGCGTTGCAGAGGACGACCAGTAAACTTCCTCTTAGTCAATCCTGGGAAAAGTCTCGGCATGTTTAGACCAGCTGACCAGGACTGCAGGCCTCAGGAAGAGGCTGTCACTGTTAGATTTAAATTCAGTATATGCATATACTGTATGTTCACATGGTGCATTTGAGATGGGGATATATAGCAATTTGTATGAACTGACCTTTGTACAATGGCTGTTGAGATGATTTATTGTTTCCTCATATAATGCTTCTCAGCATCGAGTCCCCGGTTCGATTCCCAGCTGACCCGGACCTTTATTGCATGTCATTCCTCTGCTCTCCTCCTCCACATTTCCTGCCTCTGTCCAATATTAATATTTGATAAAGATGAAAAGGTCAAAACATTTTAAAAAAAAAGAAAAAATTAACTGCTAGCAACAAACCTCACAGAAACGTATACCCTGTTGGAAATTGAAAAAAGTATTTTGCAAGTATCTGTTAGCTAAACATACTCTAATAAGTATTTCAAGGGTCCTACTTCCTCCAACTCATTAAATGCAGGTTCTAAGATTGAAAAAAATCTAATTTACTGATTTAGATATTGTAAGTAATTTAAACTCAAATTGCTTTTAGTTGAGTTTAAATTGATTTCAGGGTAATAAAGTTTAATTAAATTGGCTTGATAACTTCATTTTTTTTAACTTCAAGTCCAGGAATTGAAGTTTCCTCCACAGTCCTAACATAGCTGGACAACTTCAAGACTGATAATCAAAAAACCTTTTATTATAGAATAAAACCAAATTCTTTTAACTCAACGAGGTTCGCTGGTTGAACATAATTTGATTAGAAGTTATCATAATTCAAAAACATTGCTGCAAAATGTTGTGTTAAATTTTTTGTTGAGCCCAAACAATTTTTTTTTAGAATATATTGGTAATTAATTGATTGTTTAATTCATATTTTAAGCTAAAAATTCTCAGTTACAGCTTTTCAGATGTGACAATATGCTACTTTTTTCAGTTTTATTCATAATCTTCATTGCTGTTGGACTGACAAGCCAAACCATTTAATAATTCTGATCGTCATTTATCACATTTTTTGACAGTCAGTGGGGTAAACTATTAATATGAGTTACCTGAAAAAGTAATAGCTATTCTACAGCATTTAACGTTTGACGTCAATAAACATCACGATGTTGCAGTCCTTAAGGATTTGTAAAGTTTCACAACAATACAAGCATCATTACTTTTTAATTGTAAATCATTGCCTCATAAAGAAGAGACATGATTTGTGAAGGAAAAATCGAACTGTCTTCTCTTTGATCTGCCTGAATGTGTCTCTTGATGACTGTTGTCGTCTCCAGTCTGATAGCCTGTCACCCTCTTTGACCTCCTCAGGGAGCGGTTGCTAGGCGATGGGAGGTCGCAGCGCTCCAACAGTCTGTCCAATCAGAACTTCCAGGCCAAGCTGACGCTGCAGATCACCAGAGACCCGGTCCTGGACAGCAGCACTGGACATGGCTTCACCCTCACCACAAACGCACCCCTGCTGGTCAGGGACGTCGCCACAGGTACATGAGGTCGTCTGTGCGGTCGCCTCGGCGTGTGACGTGTTAATCCGTGTGATGGAGTGCACGTTGTTTTCCCTGCTTCCTTTCCAAATGGCCACCTGCTTTATGCAACAGTGCAATGCCTGCAGCAAGTCAGATTTACGCACTCTTTTGTTGCTCTCTCACAACCACACACACATACGCTGACTCTCTCCTGGCATTCAGACTGCAAGGCACGTTGCCAGAGAAGCCACAGAAACAACAGAGCCACCTGCTCATCCTTTCTAAATTCAATCACTTTTCATTTAGGCAACTTTGATGGGGGGGGGCGGGATTGAGTCAGAGAGAGGGAGAGCGAGGGAAAGAGAGAGAGATGCTGATCCATTACTTTTACGTCTATCCTGTAAAATAAGCTGATAAATGCCCCGAGGAGGGTCCCACCCTGCCACCGGCTCTGTAATTGCTATCTGCTGCCAAAGGAAAAGAGATTGAGATAGAGATAGAGAGAGAGAGAGAGAGAGAGCGAGAGAGAGAGAGAGGGGAGGGGGGGAGTGATAAAAGAAGACAAGATTTAATAGAGAGAGAAGATGCCAGCAGGAAAACCCAGTAGGGAACAGACACCAACCAAAGTGCAAATGTGGCCAAAGAGAACAAAATAATGAGTGTGAAAGTGTGCAGAGGGCAGGGAGGGAGGAAAGATGGGGGGGAGGTGAAGGTTAGAGGAATGAAGTGGATGAGGAAGAAGGATAGAAAAAGAAAGAGGAGGATGGCACAGGACTTAAAAAAAACCAACGGTGCTGGGTTTGGCTTGTGTGTCTCTGTTTGTGTGTAAAAGCTTGCAGAGCGGCGCAGCATGTCATCAGTGGGTCAGAAATCAGGGACAGACTGAGCTTTGCCAAGCAGACTGGGTGTGTGAAAAATGTGCGCGCAGTTGTATGTGTTTATGCACATGGTATGTTTGTGGATGTGCGTATTAGAGTAAGCTGAAACTGCCGTGCCTCAGTCGTGCTCTCTTGCCTGAAGATAAATGAGTATAAATAACTAGAGAAAGCAGAGCGGAGTCGAGCTGGAAGAGACCCAGAATAACTGTAACCCCTCACATCCTGGAGAGCTGAGCACTGTTGAGTCAGCCATGTTGAATAAGCATGTGTGTCTTTCTGTGTGTGTGTGTGTGTGTGTGGGTGCCTACATTTGTGTGTACACCTTCTTTTGTCCCCATGTGTGCAGCCAGGTTTTTGTTTTATGCAAGCGCTCACTCTTTTTATTGTGTGTGTAGGGAGTCCTGCAGATGGGATACTGTACCCAGGAGACCAGGTGCTGCAGATTAATGATACAGTGCTGGAGGATTTGAGTGCAGAGCAGGTGGAAAATGTCTTAAGGTGAGAGGAACTGCAGAGATAATTCTATCTATCTATCTATCTATCTATCTATCTATCTATCTATCTATCTATCTATCTATCT